GCGACAGCTCAGGTAGTGCTCTAATGGCTGAGATATTCCCCTCGAAACTGGCCCCCGCGAACGTATTCGGATGGATTCATGGCAGTTTCGCGCCAGGATCCACGCTTTGCGCCATGAATCCATGCGAAACACGGTCGCGGGGTCCAGTTTCGAGGGGAATATCTCAGCCATTACAGCACTACCTGAGCTGCCGCTTGAGCAGTGCCTTAGTTAGGGCCCCAAAAGTACTTTCGACGTAAAAGCTCCATAGGTCCAGATCTGCCTGGACGCTGCCTTTAACTAAAAATTATGTCAGACTCAAATCTCGATGAATACTGGGCAGCAACAAGTGGGAAGGAGACAGAAGCTACTGGGGATCCAGACCTAAATAAAGCTTATCATCAACCATAGAAACATGATAATCGTAGTCGTATTGGAAAGATTTAATCTAATCATAATTATAGTGCCATTTGCGTACCGAATGTACACTGCAGTCTTAACACCCCCCCCCCCTCTAATCATGTCGCGAACGGTCCCAGAATTCTGTCCAAAATTGCGTGTCCGCTTTTAATCTCAAAGTGCTTGTTTTGAATGTTTTTAAAATCCAAGGGGGCTTCGTTTTAAAATCTCCTTGGTTTAGCTGGGGCTAAGAAGCGACGCCAACCCAATGCAAACGTTTTTCAACTACTCCGCCTCTTCCCTCTTTTATGCGCCTCCTCATCCTGTGTAGACGTCGCAACTGCTTACCACTGCCTTAACGATACCATTTCTTGCGAAATCAGCACAACCAGTAGTTCCTGTTTCAATGTGCTTTTGGAAACGCGAGAATCCAATCTCCCCAGAAAAGGTCTTTTCACAATAAAGAGAAAATGATATGACATTTTTGAGATGTGCAGATGCGCAACGGGAATTAGAACTAGTACGGAAAATTGAGAAAAAGTTATGTGAACTGAAGGCATGACAAACCTTTCGAAATAAGATGGGTCGGTGCCCTTGACGAGCCACCTGAGATGCTCAAAAAAATCATAAAAATAACATCAATCTACATTTTAAATCTCATAAACTTGTTCAAAAACGGCTTCACGCTCCTCTGTGCTTACGCTCTCCTACCCCAAAATGTCTGAATGGTAGCAATGTGCTCTAAGCGGACGATGGTGCACGCCGGACAAATCAAGTGTGTTTTTATTCTACCTGATTTTTTATCAGCATCGCGGAGGGCATGTCATAATAGTGTTGCAAAGTCAAGGAGACATTTTCCAAATCTTGTTGGAATCCTGAGCATATCTTATCCAGACAATAATATATTTTTTGCACTAAAGAATGAGAAAGATAAGGAAATAACCCTATGCATAACGAAGTAGATCTGCCCAAGTTTGTGGTGTATGTATCAACAAATAAGCATCTGCAATTTTATTGGAGCGAAAGTTTCTTTAAGACAAGTAGGGGCTTGACCTATTTTTTAGTAATTCTTTTGTTACTGAGACAAATCATATTCTGCATTTTTATGTAAGCCAATTTTGCATAAGACTGACTTTTAGAATGGTTGTACCAGCGGGTCTAATGTGCACTTATGTCTTAAATTAGCTAAATGACGTATTGGATAACATAGTTCATAAAAAATTTTATAGGCCAAAAATTTTACACTTGACTAAAAGTCATGTCAGATCAAATTTTGAAGAATAGGTGCGCACTGACAAGTGGGAAGGGGTCAGGAGCTATTGGGAATCCCTATGTATGAAGCTTCAAATCATCAGCCATAGAAACATGCTAATCATAATTACTAGAAACATCTAATTATAATCATAGTACCATTTGCGCATCGAATGTACGCTGCAGTGCTAAAGCCTCTATTTATGTCAAGAACGGATATAGTACTCAAACCCAAAGCTAGGTGTCCGTTTCCTATCTCACGATGCGAGAAAGAACTGATAGGGCAATCAGTGACTTCTGATCTGTCTGCGTTTGTAAATCTGGCCTTCCTAATATGCACATCATTGCCTTCTCGGGATCCAACGGTAGCGCGGTTGAGCGAGAACGGCAGTTAAGAATCTCTTGATCACAGCCAACAGTCTTCCTGTCAGTTCAATCCAGCCCAACAAGCTCTGGCTCTCAAGGTAAGAGAATGCAGAATAAAATAGTACATTGCGATGTGAATTAGTTCCCCACAAAAAAAACAAAAATACAACTGATCTTAGTGCACCCTACCCTACTAAATGGAGTTGGTAAGGATAGTCAGTTTTGGTAACTTCTATCGACTTTGCTAAAAGAGGTAGAACGCTTTTCCCTTTCCCCAGGTTGTTCTCAAGGAGGCAAAAAAATTTATAAGCAAATCAAAGGGAAAGGGGTTCGTTAACGTGAATTTACGCGAACGAAGCATGTGAAACACAACAAAGTCGAGGTGCTACTTTCTAGAGTGGGTACTAATTTTTAGACTTCAAAGCTGAAACAGTTTTGTGGTAGATCAATAAACATGTAAATTCCCATACTTAGCACCATCCAAGAAAATGCACAAACATTCGATTAGAATAATCGAACACATTCGTGTATCCTCAGTACATTTTTTTTCAGCATCATCACGATTTTTTTATTTCTGCTAGAATTTGGATGTGAGATACATCGCATTCCCTCAACGTATACTTGGCAAATTCCAAAGATGACCAATACATAAGAATTATCTCCCATTTCGTTAGACGCGCGATTTTTTTGCGACATTTTGTTTATCACATCGTGGGGTTTTAATCGGCTCACGTTCCTTATCCGGTTCTCGCCTTATTGCCGTGTAGCATAGGGTGACATTTAAAAGTTCAAAGTACGGAGAGTTGTTTGAGCATAATGTAGCTTGCTTCAAGAAAAACTAATATTACGCATCTGTAAAATTAATCAAATCTGATATTACAGTAATCAAAGTTAAATAGCAAAGGGTTAATCTTGCCCGTCTCACTGCAATGTGAAGTTTCTCAAGCACTCTGGAAAGAAGTGCATAAATTTTGTGTGTCTTTGAAACTATAACCCGCTAAAACCTAGAAGATACAAATCGTAGGGCTTCCAAAAAAATTTCAATTATCAAAATTCAAGGAACGCACATTGCACAATAGCTCCTTGGCAATGGGTCAAAAAAGTTGAAATTTTTGAAATTTTTTAGATTCACGGCCATTTAGGCATAAAACCATATAGATATTCAGACATGATAATTGCAAACTCAATTTGAAACGTAGAGATTACAAGTCAAATTCGAAGATTAGAGATTTACAGGGAACTGCATAAACTTGGCGCTGTAATCATAAAGATAGACGAACGCAGAGTCTTGTGAATTTTTCTTAGAAGAGTTTACAAGGTCTATTTGGCAGCGGTAACACTTTTCTTAGCCTGTATTCTTCACGAAACTTTATAAGTCCTGTACATTAGAACGCTAAGCCTTCAAATAACGAATTTTCATCGACCTCCGTATGGTAGAACTTCCTTTTTTGGGACAGACCCTGGATATGTGCAAAGCACACTAAGTTAAAAAGAATAATGTTAGAGACGTTAATGGAAAAACAGTTTCGTAAGACAAACTTTTTTTCTCGCTCAAGGTTCCACCCAGATGCCTTGAGAAATCACCCAGATAACTTTTGTGTGAGCATATACCTGAATTAGTTTAAAATCTCGGTAGTCCTGCTCTTACAGGGATATTTTCGGTTCAGTTTGGGAAAGCAAGCACTAAGAAAAACCTCCAGCGATGGAAATCACGAGAAAATGAAAAAAGGTGTACAGCCCTTGTCTATCTGATCAGTGCATGGTGCTTACAAAATGAGAGGTTTCTTTATTTTACAATAAAAGGATTATAAAAGAAATTATTATACAAAAGGGTGGGGAAAATTTGAGAATTTTAGCCTTCACCAACAATGTTAGGCCAAGGTATCCCATAGTTTTCTAAACCGACTTTTTTTTGTCAAATAAATCTGTCGCGCATTTTAAGAAGTCAGACATGAGTTTAGACATATTTTACGGCTTTAAACTCAAAACTCGCAAAAGAAGAAAGAAAGTGACCAAATCTGTCAAGCGATGCAAGCACTTGCAAATTCTGACCTTAATTTCAAAAATTTTGCCTATAAAAGCGTTAAAGATGGACCGAATTTTTCATTTTCGAACTAAAAGCAAAACAGATAGAACCGATTTTTTTTGATTCCGAATGCAAATTATTAGTGAAGTAAATTAGCAACCTGCTAGCTTCAGCATTTGAGGACATAAGACTGAGGAATTTTGTTATATAATAATTTTGCAGAACAATTAGACTGTTGAAGAGGAAAGAAACGACGAGAGACCTTTACTAGAGTATATAATCTACCTGTGTGTTATGAAAATCAGGAGAAAGAAAGAAGGAAGAAAAAACTAAGATCTAAATTATAAGTTACCGTGGTTTGCGATAGATAAAGATCTGCCGTATTATAATATGAACGTTATTGGAGCATTTTAACGCATTTAATATAGAAATTTATTGGGGTTTCTTGATTAAGGGTTTTACAAATCTATTATGATGACCAAAGCAGGTAAGGAAAATAACTCAACATTGTATGCAGTTTGAACACTTTGGCCCTATTTCCCTTTATTTTCCTCCCGTGATACCTCGTACATATATAACAAGAGCTACAAAAGCCCCTTTTTCGACGTGAATTGCGTAGGACCTTTTTCAAATTGAATGTGTTTGGCTTTTTCGCTTACGAGTAGAGACCAAACCATGTTCTTGGAGGGATCACTGACGAGCAAACATTTTTTTGCGCTAGTCTCCGTTTGGGTGCTAAACCCAAGCACAAAAGTAAGCACCAAAATGGAGATTAGCACCAATAATGTTTCAATGGTTTAGCAACTACCGCTATCTACGCTTTTCTCAAGGCGTTGCTTCATAGCGATAACGTTGCAAAACTGCGGTATAAAATAGAGCTATCACGGATAAGGGGGCCGCCAACACTTCGATACATTTATCCCACTGTCAGGATAAGTAAAAAAATATGTCTTCTAATTACACCGGTACCTCTTTCCCTATGCAACCGTATGCCGGTGCCTCTGCCCCTATGAATACGAAAACTAATGTTAAGCAAATACTCAGAGTAAGTTTCATATCAATATTTTACTATTATCAAATAATTTTCGATATTATCTCCTGACAATCCAAGCATTGTTTCAGTGCATGGAAGACAACTACGGAACCTCGGTGGTGAGCTTGATCAGAATGGATTTCTTAGACTATCCCCAGTCTCCGTTCGGCGAAAGAAGTGCGCGCCTGGCGGCAATGCGGCAGAACATTCCCCAGAGGCACAACTCTATTGTGGATCACATGGATGTGAGACAACTCCTAGGCAATCACGATCATAGGTGCGATAGGGGGAGCCGGGATCTCCCCAGGTGAAGGGGGTCTCGGCTGTTCCCGACCTTCCAGGGTGAAGGGGGTATGTGAGTCTGGGGGGGGGGAAGAGAGAAAAGGTAAGAAAGCGTGGTATGAAAAGCTCTAATTTGTACCTTATTTAGGCACAAATTGAAAAAAAAATTTAAAAATTTTCAAAAGAAATTTAAAAATTAAAAAAAAAATTCATTATGAAGATCTGTGCTCCTGTTTCACTGCATCAACAAAAAAAGCAATAAGTTTTATCCCAAAAGATGTAGAAGTTAGGAACAACTTCATTTTCTGCGCATCATCATCAACAATATCACTATTGCTAACGTCAGAGACAACAAATTCGGTGCCTGAAAAATCTTCTTCTTCCTCCAAAAGGTCATCGGAGTGGAAGTAGAATTGCGTGCAAAGCGTTCTAAGTCAAAAATAGATTTGAAACTTTCTTCTTCTTCTGAGCACTTTTGTGATTTTTTTCCTGGCCCTCTGGTAGCATCAGGAAGTCAGCAGGTAGGTGACCAGTTTCTTCATACCATCTTTTAGGATATTTCAAAAAGTCATACGGTAACAGCCTGTCTGGACCACTTATACCAATCCTTTAAATGAAGTTTTTAGATAACAATGTGTTTAGTAGAAGGTGACAAATCTTAAGTATTTGCTTAGATGCTCTATCGTTGTACGACTTCTGCGTTGTGTTCTAATAACAAAGTATAATAGATAGAAAATTTCTTTCTTCACCTCTGCCGTGCTAGTCGGAATGGAAACTAGCTTTGCTAGTAAGTCCATCAGATTTTTGCGGTAAGTAATGGGAAAAGAGCCAGATCGCATATGCTTTCGCAACACGAGAAGGAAATAGTGCATTTTTGGGCCTTTTCGAACTCTGGCTTCACCTCCTCTGGTATACTTCCTGTTAACTGACGAGAAAGCTGCTCAACTTCTTCTTCAACAGCATCTGCGGAATAGCCGAAAAAAAAGTAGATACTATACTGCGCGTTGGTTTTTTTCAATATCATAGGTCATAATGTCACAAGGCGAATAACTTCCAAAAGCATAAAGCACGTTGGGTTCGCACTCCAGCCGGGGATCCAAGTGCAGTAACTATGCTTTGTACTAACACCTTCCTTTTGTTCATATCCATGTTTGTGAATTTAGCAGCCTTGAATTCTTCAGCAACCCGAAGACCGGCAATGGACTTCCTGAACATTTCCTCATTGAAACTAGACAATCTGCTTGGATTCCTTATGCAGGAAATCAGAGAGTTTCGCTCAATTGTCAACTCTGTGTCAATGTCGACAACATTTTCGTTGGCGTAAGATTCTCATTCTGTCTCGCTATTGAACTGGAACTCATCTGCGATTTTGTAAAGCATTCTGCCTGCCGTTTCCTCTTCAAACTGCCAACCTTTCCAAAACATTGAGGAGGAATAATTTAATAACATGTTATTCTTCTGAATGTCTTAAAGTTTTGGATTCATTGAACTCAACCACGTTCTCTACAAATTAGGTAAGGTGAGTTTAGAGCGTTTTCATGAAAGTGACCTTCTTCAGCACTAGTTTACAGAGTATAGATTCCAGAAATGGGCAAGTTTTTGTGTGAAGGTGTGGAAATTTACCAATCTCCCATAGTTTTTTGAGTGTGCCTAATAATGATGGCATAACTGTCAATCAAAAGCGCATTTTTACCAAAAAAACATAAACATATAACAACGATAAGGACGCTCAAACAGACGCGTTCGCTCACCTTCCCGTTAGTGCTGATAACGATGTCAATCCACAGCACATTTTTTACTATTAACTTGCTCCACCTCGCTCTTATTAGGTCGTCCAGAAAGTTTTTGCGCATGAATTTCAAAATTCATAACTTCTGATCTTTCGAACCGATTCGACGGCTTTCACTTTTATGTGAAAGGGTAAGTCATGCTCTTTATAATGACTTCTCAGCTGCTTAGTAACGGTCATCTGTTGCATAGATAGGAGCGATAGAAGAAAAATGGTAAAAATTTCAATTTTCTGTGTAGGGTCATAAAAGGAGAATTGCAACAAAAATCGGAGCATTCAGTGCTGTAGGATCTTTCACCAGCTCTTTCTAACAGTGCAAAGTTTGCGCCGATTGAGCGTTTCCATGAAAAGTTATGATTTCTCTGAAAAATGCCAAAATAAATCAAATTCGCCTATTTGTACTGCTTGCTCGGAAATTATAACTTTTCATGGAGACGCTCAATCGGAGCAAACTTTGCACTGTTAGAAAGAGTTGGTGAAAGAACCTGAAATACCGACTGCTCCGATTTTGTTGCAAGTTTCTGATTTTTTATGACCCTACACAAAAATTCAAATTTTGAGTGATTTTGTTTTGAGCTTCTATCTATGCAACAGATGACCATTACTAAGCAGCTGGGATGTCGTTATAAGGAGCATGACTTACCCTTTCAAATAAAAATGAAAGCAGTCAAATCGGTCGGAAAAATCAAAAGTTATGAATTTTTGAAAATCGTCCGCAAAAACTTCCGGGACGATCTATACAATGTGTTGGCTTTTACGGGTTACCGGAGAAAATGATTTTTAGAGCCGGGAAGCAAAGAAGCCCTAACATGGTGTATACCATTCGAAAGCTGAGATCATAACGAATCGACGTAGACCGTCGACTTTTTTCTAGGTCTTCTGTGCCGCGAGATATGAGGGATTTTATGTGCTCCAAAAATTAACTGATTTTGTGTGCTCACTTTCTGCTCTCCAAATGAATTCTACGAGAAAGTCGACGGTCTACGTTTGTTAATTAAGACTTGCTCTTTAACACAGATAGAAAATCAGCAGTGATTAGGTCTTCATTTGGCAGAAATCTGCTGTTGAAAATGACCATGTTTTTAGATAAAATGCGGTCTATCTCTCGGTAGAGGGGGGCTAGAAAGAAGTCGACGGTCTAGGTCGAATCCCCTTTTCCTGGGCTTTCGAATGGTATATAGGTTGCTGGGCGAAAAAACTAACCACTTTTCAAAAATGGGGTGGAGATATTTACTATTAGCTTGCTCCACTCCAGCTCCACCAATGTATTGGCTTTTATCGGTTACCGGAGAAAATGATTTTTAGAGCCGGGAAGCAAAGAAGCCCTAACATGGTGTATACCATTCGAAAGCTGAGATCATAACGAATCGACGTAGACCGTCGACTTTTTTCTAGGTCTTCTGTGCCGCGAGATATGAGGGATTTTATGTGCTCCAAAAATTAACTGATTTTGTGTGCTCACTTTCTGCTCTCCAAATGAATTCTACGAGAAAGTCGACGGTCTACGTTTGTTAATTAAGACTTGCTCTTTAACACAGATAGAAAATCAGCAGTGATTAGGTCTTCATTTGGCAGAAATCTGCTGTTGAAAATGACCATGTTTTTAGATAAAATGCGGTCTATCTCTCGGTAGAGGGGGGCTAGAAAGAAGTCGACGGTCTAGGTCGAATCCCCTTTTCCTGGGCTTTCGAATGGTATATAGGTTGCTGGGCGAAAAAACTAACCACTTTTCAAAAATGGGGTGGAGATATTTACTATTAGCTTGCTCCAATCCAGCTCCACCAATGTATTGGCTTTTATCGGTTACCGGAGAAAATGATTTTTAGAGCCGGGAAGCAAAGAAGCCCTAACATGGTGTATACCATTCGAAAGCTGAGATCATAACGAATCGACGTAGACCGTCGACTTTTTTCTAGGTCTTCTGTGCCGCGAGATATGAGGAATTTTATGTGCTTCAAAAATTAACTGATTTTGTGTGCTCACTTTCTGCTCTCCAAAATGCTACGAGGATAAATAAATAATATAAATAAAGATAAATACCGTTTCTTTAGTAAATCTATGAGCGTACTTGTTGTTTGAGGTACTTAGCCTGCTTTTCGTAACGATTTTTATCATATTCTCAGAGTACAATACCAATCTCAGCCCAGGTGAAGGGGGTCATCGGGAGTTTGGCCTCAAAGTGAAGGGGGTAAGATCCATCACTCCCCCTATCGCAACTATGATCACGATGATGCAAAGAAGGTCCTTAGCGTTATTGAAGCAATTGCGGAGATCTACAGATCATCTTATAATCAGGTACGTGCCTACCCTCAATTGCAACTGAACTCGGGCAGACCGGGAAGCGTCGCTGCTTATGCTGTCTCGCGAAGCTTACTCTCTTTTACACTTCAGGCTGGGTTTATACTGATCCCAAAGTTCCGAAACAGTTTCAGCACAATTCTCAGACTGTGCTAGAACTGTGCTGCATGCGCTGCAGCCATCCGCATGGTTTTTGAAGTTTTTGTACCAGATAAAAATTCTTGACTATCTCCAGCTGTTTTAGTTATAAACTCTATTCATTTTCGTTTCATCCTCGCGTCTTGCTTCTTCTTGTGATTGTAGAGGATTGCGAACTTGCAGCGGAATTCGAGAACGATAATTTTTCACGTCATGTCTTGTGTGACTTATCCATTTTCCTTTGCGCGTCTGTTCTCCTTCGTGATTTTTCTGCTAAGCGCTCCTTTTGCATATTTCAGAGAGTCGCTGCATCCTCATTATCTTCAGCTGTCTTCAAAGAGGACGGGTGCAAGCATCACGATTGATTGGCGAATTTTTCTGTCTTTTCATAACATTAGGTTTTTGGACGTTTTAGCCTCATTTCTTTGCACACTTCTACTGCTTGCCCTTTCGTTTTTGATTACTTTCCCCTTCTAATAAAAAAAAAACTCCGAGAAGAAATATGCACGCATTCAATTTGTGGGAGATTTCAGCAGATGCGCAAAACGAAATAGCGCTCATTCTTGTACCCCTCTCCAAGTTTGGAACTTTTTCAATTACAAGATCAAGCGAGTACAAGAATGAGGTGAAAACGACCGTCACTATAAAAACGTTGAAGAAAGTTGAGAAATTGTTCAGTATGAACCCAGCCTCAATCGCTTCGCACCCCATGATTAGAGTCCCGCACGGACCTTCTCTGGCGTTTGCTGTCAACGCAGTCACGGCGCGGTTTGTGCAAACTTACGGTGGTATACTCAATTGTCCCTCAAAAACTAATCATATCGTTGTTTTTAGCAGATAAATGTACCTAGAGCAAGAGTAGAAACAAACACGTTTATAGTCTGGCCGCAACAACAACAGCAAATGGTTGGGAGCAGAAGCAGATAGGGCAGTAAACCTTGATGAGGTCTATCGTCAGGTTGAAAACGCAGATAGTAGAAGGGGAGAAATCATCTGTAACTTTGTGACAGCTCTTCTTATTCAGGTAAATGTGTTAGCTGTTAACAAATCTGTACTCCACAATTTCAGAGCTATAATCCTGAAAAATGGGACAAACTTTACGTACGAGCACAACCGGGACGTTGCTACATAGTAGACAACGGATTGATTGCTAGTAAGCCCAACAACTATTTACTACATTTGTGATGTTGTTCAATAAAAATTCCAGGATTTCTGATGGAAGTTGACATTCGAAATAACAATAGGCTACAAAACACATATTCCGGAAATGTCACTGAGTGCATGTGAGTAAAATTAATTATTCGGTTAGCTTCCCCCAGTTTTGTTCGCTTCTTTGATCGGTCACCGGAACTTGAGGAACGCTGATCGACGAACGCTCATGTATCTTTCAACTTAGATTTTCATCCTCTTTCTAAAATCATATTCTTTTAATGATTTACGCAGTCTTTGCAATGTTACAATGTTATGCCGTTTAACAGTAATGCTATGTCTGTCGACTTTTTGAACAATATTTATTTCAACAGATTAGAGAGCGCTGATAGCCGTTTCATTTTGTAGAATAAACCCTCTGGCTACATTAATTCAGATTACGTAGATCAAGTTTCTTAAGTTTATAACTATTCAACTTTGAAAAAAGCCCGGCTATAGAAGCACATTTAGCCTACAGGCCAAAAAGGCCCAATAAAAGCTCAATTTGATAGCATGTTCTTGCTGTAGTTGCCTATTTCATGACTTTATTAGAGATCGAGATCTCCAAAATCACTTTCTAAAGCTTCAACACGTTGACGGCAGCGCGCATCTTAGTTGTCTGCCTTGCGGGACAATTCCTTTCACGCCTAAAATGGAATCGTCTAAATTTACGCCGATAATCATCTGCAGTTTACCCACAATAATTCTAAGAAGCAATTTTATAGATTTAATGCATAAAAGCACTTTTGAAGCTAATATATCCCATAACAGTAAAATTTAGTAAAATTTTAATAACATAAAAGCCACTAATCACCAGTTTAATGCCTGACCCATGCGACTCACATCGCCTAACGTGGCTGACCTTGCATGATCCACCAAGGGGTTTCTCGACAATGCATTGGGAGGACGTGCAGGAGTTCCTAGCACCTTTGCCAACATATTAGCACCAGCATCTCACTCAGAACGGTTCCAACACTTCGCTTCTCAAAGGTCGTGCCTCTCTCATTGCTCAACTTACCAATTATGTTCAATGTGCATCAAACTAGTGAATAAAAGTGACTAGTGATTCAAAGGTATCAAGGAAAGAACAAAAAAAAAGCTAGAATTAGCGCGTGTAAGCTAAAGAAAACATTTGGTATAGCCTCAATTTAACCTGACTCTTTACTAATTGTGCTGTTAAAATCCAACCCGCCACCCAAACCGTGCAAGAGTTATTAGAGTTCCCAGCAGGGTTGAGCGTCGGGTCAGGCGTGCCCGACCTAGAGTTCGTATTGGAAGTAAGACTAAGGGGGGTCGTAATTGAGGATGAATTCCTTTAGTTGGGAAGATACAACGATAAGGTTGAGAAGAAAGCGCTAATCCTGTGGATATCGCGACATCAGCAGTACTGAAGGAATGACGGTCGTAAAAGCATGTAGGGCATTTGAAAAATCGTGACGATGGCGCGACCGCGCGTGACACGCACGCCTCTTCCGGAAATCACATTTTCTTGATTTCATCTCTAGTCGGGTGGTTATTTGCTTACGCATGATAATATTTATACAACGGAAATGACTGAGCTGAACGCTGAGGCGATTCCTTCTTGTATGAGCGTTTTATGCTTTTGTGGGCGCCAAGTCCGCAGCAAAGTCCGTCGTCACGATTTTGTAAATGAACTATGTCAGTTGATTCCGTAATGGAAATTTCAAACAAATTTTGTTCTTTACCGTTTACCTTAACATATCATAAGCTCACCGAGAAAGCATGCTGTATCAAATAGGTGTCATTTTTGTAATTAGCATGAACCACTATGAGCTCTATAAATCATTACCTACAGCATTTTCCAGTGTTTCTAAACGTCGGGAAAACGTGATTTGCGAACATGATTAACTTGTTTTCAAAAGTGAAAAAGTTTTTTTATAGTCATAACAAAGTAATGTTTTCTACAAGTTTACGCTAGAAATCAGGCTCCACATCGCTTCCAAGTAATGGAGTAGGAAGTGCTGCAAAATTCTAACTGGCGCGTTTTTACCTTAAGTGCTTCAACTCTACGGATTGCTACAAGGCCGAAACGAGTCGAATCAGGCTCGAACACTCACTGTGGAATTTTCGAAAGTTGCGTTAGCGAGCTAAACATGGCTAGAAAAGTTTTTTCGAAATGCAATTAACGGATAAGGCGCAACCTCCAAATGGTCAGGCTGCCAAGGTCAAGAGATTGCGCCTGACCCCCCTAACTTGCCTTCGTTATTCAAAAATCCTTTTCTAGTACGAGTATCGAGCTTAAACTTCTTTTTGCTACATTGAAAATTGGAAGAACACTTCACCCCTGTATAAAATGCAGCTCTGAAAACCTCTAAACGACCCCTCCGCTTCATCTCCAGAACCTCATGATCTCTTGTGCATTCGTGGAAAGTCGGGCTTACAGGCTCCCAGAAAACAAGTACCGTTCAATAGACTGGTCTTCTTCAAGATATCACATCATGAGGACCTGGAGGCGAAGCGGAGGGGTCGTTTAGGATCTTTCACAAGGGAGGGGGGTCGCTTTTAAAGGACTTGTGCCTGACCTCTTGCTCAACCCTGGTTTCCTGCAGCAATCATTCAATGTTACAAGTCTCCGCAAACGCCATATGTCAGACCTCTAGCATTTGTAAAGCATATTTTCTTACTAATTAAGTAGATCCGGATTGTGAAAAAGTGGTTTTTTCCTCAATAACATAGTCAATACCAAAATCATGCGGATTTGAATATTTGCAAGTTATTTGAAACGATAAGTATTATAAAATTTGATCGTTCGAGCATATTTTAAGAAGTCCATCATATGAAGACGTTTTTAAAAAGCATTCTTTAGTTTTACATCAGATTTAGGCAGTTAATTTTTATTACTGTTTCTACCTTGGCGCTCTACTTTCCGAATTATTGTATGAAAAGAATTGGCTAAAAATCGAACGTCCGAGAATTGAATTTTGTGAAAAATGTTCGATCTGGATGTATATGAAAACAATATATGCAAAGGTGAGTATTTTCGTACATTGAAGAGTTTTCACCAAGTCATCAGTCATACAAAACATGTAATAACGTGCAAAGTGCGATAATCAAAGCTTCGTATTTAACAGAGTTTACGAGCCCTGCTCAAAAAGTTTACACTATTCTGGAAATGCTGGTGTACACAAAATTTGCATGACAAATACCTGTTGCGTTATTTGTTGAGATATCAGGGCCCTAGCTACCCTACCAGGTGGCATCAAAGATGCCGGCACGTTCGCGAACCTCGCGGCATGTTCGTATTTCGGGCGCAAGCTAAATCTTGCTTCAGATTCTAGTATTTTAATTTGTTTTTCTCTTTCGCACATGAAATTTTGATGCCGCTGATATCCGCAAAACAGCGACATCGCGCGGGTCCGAACCTGCGTGCGTCAACCTTAGGCGCCGTCGCACTAACCATTCGACAACTCGTTCAATTTCTGTTGTTTGCAGCAGCAGTTATAGAAACGCTGCCTACGTAGTGAGCGCCTGTATGTGAGCATGATCAATACAATGCGCGATGGACGTTGACCTGAAAAAACAGCTGATTGATAAGAGCGAACGAGAGACGAAACCGTTGCAAATGAGATTTGAAGCAATTGCAAAATGATATTCATGGTATTATAATATCAGCAATCGTTTCTTATGCTTAAATATCATCACTTTGGGGGAGAAGAACTCATATGATGGCAAAAGTGATAGTTTTTCGATGGAAAATAAATTTTTTGGTTTTTTTGCTGGACGTAAATTGTCACAGACGCCGTCGGCAAAGATGCCGGCATCTGGACGTGGTAGGGGCACGTCCACATGCCGGCAGGTTGCACTCCACCAAAAACATACTATTTCGTGCACTCTCTGACCTGCCGGCAGGCTGCGATCTGGATGGCATCTCAAATTTCGACAAAAAGAGATCGTGAACCTGCCGGCAGGTTCACAATTCGGGCCAAATAAATGGCAAACGAGGACATTTTTGGATTTCCTTTCAATTCCCATAGTATTTCGGCAACAAAACTGGACCGTAACACACAAAAAAATAAATGATCAGCCTAGCTGGGGGTCCCCGGAGACAGTTTGAGATTTTAGGGACCTCAAGTCCACATCAGGACGACCTTAGGGCATGAGATGCCGGCAGGTAGGGTGGATTACTACGGGCCCAGCTGTTAAAGTACGGCTCTCAAGCAGAATCGCAAAAATTGAAGACCGAGGGGTTTTTAAAAAGCTATAGATAGTAACTTTTCAACTCTGTATGAATGAAGTTCTGACCAGTGGTAGTGCTGGTCATGAAGATTGATGTTCTACCAGCGGAGCTATCCAAAGACAATGCATCCGAAACATGAGTTTGTAAATGCAGTTTTTAGCATCAAAATCTCATGTTTTCTGAAAATTGCCCGAACTTGACAATTCTTGCATATTCTGGTTCGCGCATTAAATAGCTCTTCAAATATATGGCACTCTTTGTTGAAACGTGAAGGAAAAAAACTGCTACTTAAAATTGTTATCACATGTTTTGTATGATTGATGATTCGGTGAAAAAACTCTTCAATGTACAAAAAACTCACCTTTGCGTATCTTGTTCTCATATACAATCAAATTCAGTGAACAACTGAGATGTTTGTGCACTTGCCTGAGGTTATGAGTGCGCGAGGCTCAAATGCGTATATCACCTCGCATCGCACTCCAATCTCCCCAAGGAGGTCGTTTTGTCGTAAACACAAGGTGGAATCAGCATATGTCCTGGATTCTGATATTGAAGTTAAAATCAAGAAAAGATCATTTTAAGGACCTCAAACGCTTTGCGAGGTTTTGTCACGATTGTTCCGTCGCAGCTTCACAAAATTCATCAATAAGATTTTATTTTTAAAAATCTCATTTGTTGGGGATTATCGTAACGTCAAAGAAGTTGAACTAGAACAAAAAGTCAAAAAAATTATTTTTCCAAGTTGTTATGCGATTGCGACGGTTTCGTCGCAATTTTTCTGTCGCAAATCTGCTAAAATCTTCCAAAAAATGCATTTTCAAAATACATTGTCTTTCCAGTCATTATGATGCTGTTATTTCAAAAATACAGACAGAAATCCGAAATTCCTATTTTAAATCAG